ATTAGTCTAAAAGCTAGTCTTGTCATAACTTTGGTTTGTAACTCCATGTTGCTTTCTACATAATTTAAGGTACTGATATATTTTAAATAATTATTAATTTATGTTTTAGGACACATAAAGTATAAGAATGTCATTTTGCGATATTAACAACCAAAAGGAGTGGGAACAAACCTGTTATGAAGGAACAGAGTCTTTGTATGTTATTGAAACTATGCCCCAAAAGAGTTAAAAAAAAAAAAAAAGAAAAAAGCAACTAACATAAATTATTGAGTTTACACAGGATGGCAAATAAACAAATAGCTGAAATGCTGTAACTTCTTCTGTTCTGAGATTTTAAAAACTTGCTGAAATTAGTTGGAACCAATAGAGCCAACTGCAATTTGAGCAGAATGAGCTTGTTGACAGCACTTCCTGAATTTCCACTGCATGTTTTGTACAAACTCCCCCAGCCTTTGCACATGTGATTCACGAGTTAGCCCAAGGACTTTCCAGACCTCCCCTTTCCCTCCACCAACCATCTGCTAATATCAGACTTTGCCTTATAAACCTTTTATAATACGATTACTGCCTTAAAGTCAGCACAGAAAGACAGCTTAGCTAGACTTCTGTCTCCTCGTTAATTGCAATAAAAAATGTTTCCTATCTCAAAAACCCAGTATCACAGTATTGGCTTCTAGTGTATCAGGAAGCAAGTCCCTTTTGCTTGGTAACATTATTAAAGTTAACCTGGTATAAATTCAACTTACAATGTTACAACTTTATGATGTTAAATGCAATTCCCACAGTAACCACAAGAAATAGCTAAAGAATATATACAAAAGGAAATGAGAAAGGAATTTAAACATTTCACTGTAAAAAAAAAAAAACCTAAACACTAAAGAAGACAGTATTGCATAAAATGGGTAACAGAAAATAAGCAATAAGTCATTAAAAACAAACAGCAAAATAGCAAAGTAAATGTACCCTTATCAGTAATTACCTTAAATGTAAACGGATTAAACTCTCCAGTCAAAAGACAGAAATCAGAATAAATACAAACATATCATCAATCTATGCTGTCTGCATGAGATCCAATTTAAATTCAATGACACAAATAAGTTGAAAATAAAAGAATGAAAAATATATTACATTTTAAGTAGTAATCAAAAGAGAACAAGGAAGGCTATACTCACATCAGACAAAATAGACTTTAAATCAAAAAAAGGTTACAAGAGGCAAAGAAGGATATTATATATTAATAAAAGGTTCAACACAGTAAGAAGATAAAGCAGTTATAAACATTTGCACACCTAATAACAGGTCATCAAAATATATGAAGCAAAACTGATAGAATTGAAGAGAGAAATCAACAGTTCATAATAATAGTTAGATATTTATATAGTCCATTCTTAATAATGAACAGAACAATAGATGAAAGATAAGAGAAAATTTAACACAATAAACCAACTGGGTATAATAGACATGTACAAAACATGCTACGCAACAACAACCACACACAAGTTCTTCTGAAGTATACAAAAAACATTTTTCAGGATAGTTGGTTCATTGAAAAGATCAACCGAATTGACAAATCTTTAGCTAGATGACCTAAAACAACAAAAAGAAAAGACACAAATTACTAAAATAAAAAATAAAACAGATGCTGTTACTGATTCTAAAGAAATAAAAAGGATTATAAGAGAGTAGTATTAACAATAGTTCATCAACAATTTGGATAACGTAGATGATATAGACAAATTTCTAGAACCCCAAAACCTACCAAGAGATAGAAAATCTGAATAAATTAATAACTAATATATAGATTAAATCAGTAATCAAAAATCTCATGACAAAGAAAAGCCCTGGACCAGGTGACCTTGATGCTGAATTCTAACAAATATTTAAGGAAGTCAAAATACCAATTTTTCTCAAGCTTTTCCAAAAAATGGAAGAGGAAGGGAAACCTCTTAACTGATTCTGTGAGGCAAGTGTTACCCTGATGACAAAATCAGGCAAAGATACTACAAGAAAAGAAACTACAGATCAATATCTCTTATAAACAGTGATGGAAATAGTCTCTACCAAAAATTAGCAAGCCAAATTCTGCAGCATATTAACCAGATTATAAACCATTACCAAGTGAAATTTATTCCATAATGCATAGATGATTCAACATACAAAAATCAATGTAATACAGTACATTAACAGAATTAAGGGGGAAAAAAACATATATGATCACCTCAACTGATGCAGAAAAAGGATCTGAAAAAAATTCAACTTTTTATGATAAAAAGTCAACAAACTATGAATAAGAGAAAACTACCATAACATAACAAAACCATACATAAAAAACCCACAGAAAACATCATATTTAATGGCTCAAGATGGAAAGGTTTCTCTTCTAAGATCAAAATTAAGGCAAGAATGCCCATTTTCACTACTGCTATTCAACACAGTACTAAGTTTTAGACAAAGCAATTAGGCAAGAAAAAGAAAAAAATGACAATGAAATTGTAAAGAAAGAAGCTAAGTTATCTCTGCTGTGGAAAACCATAAAGAGTCCACCAAAAAGTTTAAAATTAATCAATTAATTCAGCAAAGTAGCAAGATATAAAGTCAACACACAAAAGTTGCATTTCCATATACTAACAATAAACAATCAGAAAAGAAAGTTATACAAACAATTCCATTTATAATAGCATCAAAAAGAATGAATACTTAGGAATAAATATAATAAATACTTAACCAAGAAGGTGAAAGATTTGTACAAACTATAAAACATTATTGAAATAAATTCAAGAAGATATAAATAAATGGTAAACACATCCCACATTCATGGGTTAGAAGACTTAACACTCTTAAGATGTCAATACAACCCAAAGCAAACAAGAGATTCAATGCAATCTCGATCCAAATCTCAATGAGTCTATTTAAAGAAATAGAAAAATCCATCCTAAAATTTATATGAAACCTCATGGGACCCCAAATAACCAACACAATCTTGAAAAGGCATAACAAAGCTAGATGGTTCATACTTCCTGATTTCAAAAATTACTAGAAAACTACAGTAATTAAAACAGTGTCACACTGACATGAAGACAGCATATAGATCAATGGAACAGAGAATCTAGAACCCTTATATACATAGTCAAATGTTTTTTGACAAAAGTGACAAGGTAATTTGGTGGAAAAAGAGTAACCTTTTTAGCTAGTGGTCCTGGGAAAACTGAATATCCAAATGCAAACAAGTGAACTGGACCCTTACCTAATATACACAAAAAATAATTCAAAATGGATCAAAGACCTCAATGTAGAACCTACAACTATAAAACGCTTAGAAGAAAACAAAGAGTAAATGCTGCATGACATTGAACTTGGCAATAATTTCTTGGATATGACACCAAAGGCACAGGAAATAAAAGACAAAATAGACAAATCAGACTTCAAAATTTTTTTAATGTGAGCATCTAAAGCTAATACCACTGGGTGTGGTGGCTCACACCTGTAATCCCTCAGCACGTTGGGAGGCGAAGGCAAGAGGATTGCTTGAGTCCACAGGTTTGAGACCAGCTTGGGCAACATGCCAACACCTTGTCTCTACAATAAATAAGAAAATTAGCTGGGCATGGTGGCACGTGCCTGTAGTTCCAGCTGTCTGGAAGGCTGAAGCGGAAGGATCTCCTGAGCCCAGCAGGTTGGGACTGAGGTGGCCATAAGTGTATCACTACACTCCAGCCTGGGCTAGAGTAAGACTTTGACTCAAAAAAAAAATTTTTTTTTAAAAGATAATGCCAACAGAGTTAAAAGGCAAGTCACAGAAAGGGAGAAAATATTTGCAAATCAATATATCTGATAAGGGATTAATATCAGAATATATAGAGAACTTTTAAAACTCAACAAGAAAAAAAACCGAACCCAATTCAAAAATAGGGAAACAACCTGGGTAGATACTTTTCGAAAAATAAAGAAGATATACAAATGGCCAACAAGTACAGGAAAAGATGCTCATATTACTAATCCTTAGGAAAACGCAAATCAAAATGACAATGAGATACTGCCTCACACCCATTAGGATGGTTACTATTTAAAAAACAGAAAATAAATATTGGTGAGAATTTGCAAAAATTGGAACCTTCATACACTATTGGTGAGACTATAAACTGGTGTAGTCACTGCAGAAAAGAATATGGTGGCTCCACAAAAATTTAAAATAGAGTTACCATATGAATCAGCAATTTCTTTTCAGGGAATATACACAAAAGAATTGAAACCAGGCCTCAAAGAGATATTTTTATACCCATATTCATAGCAAACTCACAATAGCTAAAACATGGAAGCAACTCAAATATCCACTAACAGATGAATGGATAAGCAATATGGAGATATATATGTATATAATATTATTTTCAGTCATAAAAAGGAAATAAATTCCAATATATGCTACAATATGTATGAAACTTAAAACATTATGCTAAGTCACAAAAGGTAGCCACAAGAAGACACATACTGTTATGATATCGCTCATATGAGGTACTTAGAAAAGTCAAAATCATAGAAACAGACATCACTGCCAGGGGTTGGGGATAGGGGAAATAGGCAGTTATTGTTTAATGGGTATAGAGCCTCAGTTTTAAAAGATGAGAAGAGTTACAGAGATAGATGCTGATGGATTCCTAACATCATAAATATATTTATTAACACTAAACTGTATGCTCAGAAATGGTTAAGATGGTAAATTTTATGTTATATATATTTTATTACAATAAAAAGTTTGAAGAAAAAAGAATATAATTTCTATTAACTAAAATCTGAATTGCACCAAAACTATGATTAAATGGTCTTGGTTAAACACAATTGACATTACAAAGATAGCTTTAATTTATAGCAATTAATATATTAAAAATCTTAACATACATTAGCTACATTTTAACAAAACCTTGTCGTAAATTTTTATATGATGAAATGAGAAGGGACCAAAACACTAACAATTTTTAACAAAAATAGAAAAGCACACACAATACCTTAGAGGCGCGGATCTGCCTGTGAATGTCTGTTAGTTGTTGGATTTTGCATTCCAGCTCTGAAATCTGGGCTTGAAGCCAAGTCCATCTGCTGCCAACTCTTGCTCTGTCTTCAAGCCACTTCCATTCAGTACTACAGTTACTGTGAACAAGACATACACTGTTAGTCACAGCCAGGGCAATCAAATTTTCAGAGAGACTGCTTAATAACTTCCTTGACTCCTATCATAAAATCCAATTACCTTTAAAAACATCTAATTTCATGAAAAGAGAATGGCAGACTGACTTCTTGTCAAAGAAAAAGACTGAATTTTATTACCTTTCCACCCTACAAATACCTATTTTTATTCAATATTACATCTGCTATAGTAAGATAATCCCTCTGCTACTTAATGCTACCTTATCAATGCTGAAGGGCTTAAATAGGAATGGGCCAGCAAAAAAAGGGAAGCACGAATGACAAAAGCTATACCATGTAAAAACTGTTACACAAAACTTGTATTTGTAAGTAGATGTCAAGTACTGGATAAGCCATTTGAACTGTGCTAGATTTCAATCTATGTAACAATTGTAGTATACTTTACTGCATGTGATTTTCATTTGCTAAATCAGTTATTATTAGCTAAGCAAATACTTAAAATCAAATTTTAAAAATTGTCAAAATATAAATACTCTGCTACATTTCAAATAAGCATATCAAACATATAGTTCTTATGATGCTTGTTAAGATAAACAGCTTCTTAGATACCTGAATTTCAGAATTTACAATCCAGAGATCACAAAGAATTTATCTAAACCCTTTCATTCAAGTATATTTAAAAATATGGTTGAATCCTACCTCCTCCTAGTTCCTCAATCTTTTGGCAAGAGTACTACTCTAATCCATAGTTTGTGAGATTACAGAGTATCTACTTAATGAAAATATTCCAACCACTGCAACTAGAAAAACAATTATTTAGGATTATGGGTGGTGTATGTGTGAGATGCAAAGAAAAAAATGATAGAAATTGAAGGTACAGCTGCAGGGCAACAACTACTTAATGGAAAAATATATGAACCTTATATTTAAAAATTTATCCCAAATATGCATTTATTGTGAAAACCCACAAAATGCAGAATACCAACAGTAAAACCTAAAGTAAATGACAGACTCTGAGTGATAATGATGTGTTTAATGTAGGCCAGTCAACGGTGACAAATACATTACTGTGGTGTGGGATACTGATAGCAAAGAAGGTTGTATGTCTGTGAGGACAGGGTATAGGGGAACTCTACTTCCCACTCCATTTTCCTGTGAACCTAAAATTTCTCTAAAAAGTAAAGCTTATTAATTTTTTAAAATGCATTTAACCACAATGGAATTTCTTTCACATAAACGTTAGCCAAAGAAAACATTTATTCTAAAAGATAATTTGCTGTCAGATAAACAGAACACAAGTATTATAACTTTGCTATATAGCATTCATTCATCATAACAGGATTTTACATTATATCAATGTCTCCAAGAACTTTTTAAAAACTTATAATTGCATATAATGTAATTAAACATACTATATAAATTAGGATTTCTCTTGGTATTATTTATTTAGTTTATAGTCATTATTGTGAGTTTGTATATTTGACACTGTTAAAAATCACATTTTCATAACAATGGACAAAATAAAATACCTATTCAAAATACACTATTTATAGATAATACTTAGTAACACTAAATGTCAGTCATAAAATTAAAAGAGGAGATAAGGGCCATAGCACATAGTATCTTGGATAGGTAAAGATAGTGTTTGCATTTTAGTGCAAAATGGAAACTACTGACAAGCCAGTAACAAGCACTTGGTCTACTAGATGGACAAGTTGTAGGAGGACATGAGACAAAATAAGAAAACCAATAAATATGTAGCTATAATAATCTGGGTGTGGTAGAGAAACAGCAGTTGCCAAATATTTCATGTGCTACCCTAAATTTCTCAGCCTTACTTGCACTTAGATTGGAGCAAGGTAACTAGTTCTAACCAATATGCTGTGAACAAAAGTGACACTGTCATTTTCAGTCCACCAGAGGATCTTCAAAGCCAGTAGTGCAGATAATATAGCCACATAACAGAGGAGCATCATAGCCCAAAACACAACGGATTTTATGTAAGCCAAAGTAGATCTCTGTTGTGCTAGACCACTGAGTCTAGAAGGCTAATTTGAGACTCTAAATATAGCCTATTCTGACTAAAACACTGCACACAAAAATGGCGTGGACTAGGAATAGGAGGGAGATAAAGATATGTACATAGGAGGATAGATTCAAGGATCACTTTTTAAAAAATTTTAATTTTAAAATTATGGGGTACAGTTAAGGGTTAGGTTTACAAATATGTATCATTCAGGCACCCTTGCTGATAAGGGGTGTCTCCCCATCCCCAGACAGATATTCACTACTGTTAGTCCCACCTCCCTTCCCCTCCCTTACCCCCCCATAGTTTCCCACCACTGTCAGTTCTTTTCTTATAGTGTTATGATAGATGTTCAAGGTCCACTATATGAGTGAGAACATGTGATACTCAAATCTTTGTTTCTGTGAGAGATCACTTAGTATTATAGACTCTAGTTTCATCCAGGTTGCTGCAAAATTTATGATTTTGTTCTTTTTTTATGGCTGTGTAGTATTCCATCCTGTAACGTATCACATTTTTTCAATCCAGTCCACTTTTGATGGACTGCATGGTTGGTTCCAAGTCCTTGCTATTGTGAACAATGCTGCGATAAACAAGATCCCTATCTATCCCCATACACAAAAATTAACTCTAAATGGATCAGAGACCTAAATGTATAACCTCAAAACCATAAGAACCTCAGAAAATGCAGAACACACCCTTATGGAAATTGGAACTGGCATCCAATTCCTGAGTAATATCCAAAATGCATGGGCCATAAGAGATAAGATAGACAAGTGGGACCTCATTAAACTGACAAGTTTCTACAAAGCCAAAGAAACCATCAAGAGGCAGGGAGACAGCCCATAGACTGGGAAAGTATATTTGCCAACTCCAGGTCCAATAAAGGCCTGACATCTTGGATCTACAAGAATCACTTTAAAGTTGACAGGACTTGCATTGTAAGCTATGATTCTATTTTAAAAAGTAAAAATTAAAAAAAAATAAAACTAATAGGACTTACAGAAGTATGGTGTAGAAGTATGCATAGGAAAATCAAAAATCAAAGATGCTCTGAAATATTGTTTAAGTCTTGTTCCAATTGCAAAATTGCCCTGTAATATGCGGCATGGCTTGGTTATCAAATTGATGATTACCTAATGACCAAGTATACTACAGAAAAGTGAGTATTTTCATAAACCTCATATTATTGTACTTCTGGTGAAGATATTCTGATGAAATTAGGATTACAAAAATCACTTTTCTGTCCATACTCTATATTAAATTATACTAGCACTGAAAAACAGCAATATCAGATTGAATTTAAGTAACTTAAATCACACTGTTCTGTGATGTGTAAAATAAATTTCTGAGAAAGGTAACTTATTTTACATTTTAATAGGGGTGAACAAAATCTGTCTGCCATACTTAAAAGTGGTAAACAAATTTTCCCCTAAAAACTGTTTTCTTGTTTGAACACTTATTTTTCCAAAAAATAATTATGGTTATTATTCAGTTAAATACATGGCTAACTTGCTCAAAATAGATTAGATTAACACTTGCTGTAACCCAAAGTCAAAACATGTTTTACATATACAACTTACATAACCATCAATATAACAATTTGTACAACTTACAACATAACCACTCAGAAGCCAATGCAACAGTGAACCCAAAGGAATGTGAGGCAAACTCAGTGTCCAGACTCCTCAATCAGCATATAAGTCAGGTCTGCCAGACCACCAACACTGACTTCCTGCATTTCTCTGGAGCGTGCTAAATTGATCACAGTCCACAACATGTTGACCATAAAGTGGAGCTCCTATCTCTGGTCAAGACAGGGCAAAGATAACTGAGTGGAGATCACCTGAACAGTGAGAGGGACCAGTCACTCCTCAGAAAGGTAGGATATTCCTTCAATCCTTACTTACTGAAGGAAGTATAAGCTGTTTAAACCAAGTTTTGAGTGCAATGTCTCTCACTAGCATTGTCAACATCATGAACTTACATCTCTGTTTTGACCTCCTGGTATAAACTCATTGGGTTATGACATATTTTTATTTTTGCTAAACTCTATTTGATACTTCATTTAGGGATTTTGCATCTAGTCAAAACAGATACGGAGCTGCTGTTTTCTTGTCATATCTTTGTCTGACTTTGGAACCAAGCTAATGCTCATCTCATAAAATGATTTGGGGGGTGTTTCTTCCTCCTATATTGTTTGAAGGAGTGTATGTAAAATTGGAATATTTAGCCAGTTAAATATATGGCTACTTATTACTTAAGTCTCAATAAAATTAGTCAGTGAAGCCACCTGGGCCTGGAGTCTCCATGTGGGAAAATTATTCCACTCTACTTAAACATGTAGACTCATTGTTTACCTCCCACTTATAAGTGAGAACATGCAGTATTCAACTTTCCGTGTGAGTCATATTACTTAGGATAATGGCTTCCAGTTCTATCCATGTTCCTGAAAAATACATGACTTCATTCTTTTCTACAGCCAAGTAGTATCCATGGTGTGTGTGTGTGTGTGTGTGTGTGTGTGTGTGTGTGTGTGTATTTTATTTCTCTAATACTCTGTTGACACGGGTTGATTACATATCTTTGCTATTGTGAACAGTGCTGTGATAAACATATGAATCCAAGTATCTTTTTGGTAGAACAACTGATGCTTCTTTGGGTATATACCCAGTAGTGGGACTGCTGGGTCAAATGGCAGCCCCGTCTTTAGTTCTTTGAGAAATCTCCATACTGTTTTCAAGAGATTGTACCGATTTATATTTCCACCAACATATAAGCATTCCCTCACCAACATTTTTACATCCTTACCAACATCTGCTATTTTTAGACAATTTCATAGTAGCCAGTCTGACTGGTATAAAATGGTATCTCACTGTGGTTTTGATTTGCATCTCTCTGATTTAGTGATCAAAGTCCACAGCCTACTGACCATAAGGTGGGGCTCCTATCTCTGGTCAAGACAGGGCAAAGACAT